TGCCACACATAATAAACATAAATAAACCTTCATTTTTCTAAACCGCATGTAGAAAAAAGAATTCACATTGTGATGCTTGAAGTTTCATGGCGTTTTGTCAATTATTTATTTTGTTTTGTTTTGAAGAAAGTATTTCTGAAATATACAGTGCATAAAAGTTTTTTATGAATTCTTCTGTAAATCTACGTCTAGGTTTTTGTTACAAAGATACATTACATTGTTAAATTCTTTTACGTTTATCTAGGTGCTGTGATGTACTGCTAAAAGCAAATAATATTGAAAATACAGTATTTATGTTCTGTGTTGAGTGGACAGGGACGTTTGATGCATCTACTACATTTACTTGGCCAAATGAAGCCAATAAGCACAACTCAATTGTAGCAATAGTTGGGGAAGGAAGGAGAGTTACAAAAGATGCTGTGGGTGTGGCAGATTGCATGCCAGAGTGTCTAGTTAAGGACATCACCTAATGGGTTACGAAATAAGAGGTGTCATGGATTTTAACTAGACCACTTAGTGTTTTAAAATTTTAGTAATGGAAACAAGCACAGTGATTGTGAAGCTGCCACGAGTCCAATATAGAGGTGAGATCCTGAATAACTACAGCAGGGGCATGAGAGAAAACACAGATTTCAGACGCTTCTTTCCTCTACTTTATGATTTTCATTTATTTTTGTTGTTGCCAATCGAGGGTACAAAGGCCACCCTATAAGGTGGCCTGGAAGTCGGCACTTGGTCCTTGTTATTCATGGTCTCTTCTATAACAGGATTGACTTGTGAGACCAATGGAATGTGGTAAAGTGATGGTGCATCTCTGGTAAAGTTATGTCCTATAAAACATTGCTGCCTTGCCCTCGTTCTCTTTGATGGCTCAGTCTTGTGGAAGCTACCCTCCAGTCAAGAAGACATTCTTGTTACCTGGAGAACAGCACATTTACAGAGCAAAGTAAGGCCTCCTAATAGCCAGTACCTGCTAGAAGGTCATGTGAGTGAATCACCTTGGAAATGCATCCATGTGCCCCATACCTGGTGATCCTGGATGACTTCTTGAATGCCAGCTCATGAACACATAGACCCGTGAGAAGTTATGATTATTGTTTTGGTTGTTTTTATTGATGTATCTTTGAGAAAGCATCTCCCGTAATCCCATCTGGCCTGGAACTTGCTATTGTAGATCAGGCTGGCCTTCATCTCATGGAAATCCACCTTCCTTTGGCTCCCTAGTTCTGGGTTCAAAGGCTTAGAACAACAGGTCTGGCTAGGCTCATTGTTTTGAAGTACTAAGTTTTAGAGACCTTTGTTACATAGTAAAGGTGTACTAATACAGACTTATCTCACTTGTACCTGGATTACCCTAAAGTTGCATTTCCTTACATATAGGATTTAGTTAATTTCCACCCTTTGCCTGCTAACCCTCAATTCTGTTACTTTACATGGCAAAATACACTACACAGATATAACATAATCAGCTGACATTAATTTAATTAAAAGGATTGTCCTTCTGGTGGACCAGATCAAATCTTTGAAATCTTTACATCTGACCCCAAAAACCAAAGTCAAGGAAGTCAGAAAATATAAGCAGTAGATTTCAGCTTTCTGAATTCTTAAGCTAAGAATACTTCCCCCAGATATTTTATCTCCAGAGCTGTGAGATAATAAATTGGTATTGTTTGTAGCATCTTGATTTATGTATGTTGAGGCCTAGCAGTGGACAATGAATGCACATGGTTTAGATGATGAGATGCTGGACCTTGGACTAATGCCATAATAGAAAAAGAGGGGAGGTGAGCATAAATTATATGTGGCGGAAGTGATTCATTCGAAGTTAAATAGCAGTTTCCTTCACCGGTAGCCAGCCTCCAATGGCGTGGCATCCTGGAATTCACGCTTATGAAGTTTCCTTCTCTCTCACAGTGAGTAAGCCTGGTCTGCTGAGTGAACAAAGGGGGGATTTCAGAAGTGATATTGCTTGACTGTTGCAGCTCTATAATAAAAATGTAAAACACTGCAACTCCTACATTAATCTCTTAGGGAGCAATCCCCTGTGTAAAATAGCCATCATGCCACAAAAGTGTGTTAAGCTGTCATCTAGGTTAGATCACCTGGAGAACAATTGAATCTTCTTCCAACAACAAGCACCACAGTATTGCCAACCATGTGACAGAAGTGCCTTGGAAGAGGATCCTACAGCCCCAGTCAAATTTTGATGGGTATCTTTGTGTTTTATTTGTTACTGAATTTTCGTGCATTTCATACAGTACATTGAAGCCATATTTAGACCACCTCCCCTATCTAACTGTAGCATCAGAAGATCCTGAGTTCAAATCACTCAGCGAAGTATCTGTCAAACGAGATACAGAAAATGTGGGTCTAATAACAATTTATTATTGTTTCAAGCTGCTAATTTTGGGGGTGCATGTAACAAACTAAAACTAAGATTTATAAGAGTTTCCAAAGACAAAGCCTTCTGCCTAGCTTACAGTAGACAACCAGCTTGCAAAGGAAAAAAAGAGTTTCTCCGGAGCCATTAAGGGGAAATATCCAGACGAGCATAGGCTACACCTGTGGCTCTTGTTCCCATGGTTAATGGATTATCTCTCACTGATGAAAAAAACTGAGTTAAGGATGGAAGACTTTGACAAATGTATCAAATGAACAGATTGAGAGTTCTTCTCTCCCCTGCGTTAAAGGCACTCTGATTATCGTCAACACTCTGTTAATACCATTCTATGTCCTGCGCAAAAGAGTAGCAAAATAAAAGAAAAATCTTTTCAGACCAAATGGTGGCTAAGCAAAAACATGTTTTTTAGACACAGTGGAAACCATGTTATGATGGACACTTTCATGCTGAAGAACCATCCGAAGTTGTGGAATTTAAATGTCACATAGCAGTGCAGTATCAGTTGAATTGCTAAGGTTTCATTGAATTTCAAGAGAAACAATATTGTCAAATAGGTTGGAAATATAGAAGCCATAGAAATATAAAATTTGAGAAGGAAAATAATAACGTTAGAAGAGAACCTTAAAAGTAATTTGTTTCTGGGGCTGGAGAGATGGCTCAGCAGTTAAGGGCACTGACTGCTCTTGCAGAGAACCCGGGTTCGATTCCTAGCACCTACATGGTGGCTATGAACCATCCTTAACTCCAGTTCCAGGGGAATCCAAAGACTTCTTCTGACCTCTGCAGCATTTGCACGACACAGGTGCACTCACATACATGCAGGCAATATACTCATACACATAAAAATAATAAATAAAATATTAAAAAAAATAATTTGTTTCTGATTGTGACTCATAAGCGCTTATTTTTTAGATTCTTTTTTATGGTTGACTTATAAAATTAAAATATCTTGCCATGAAAATGTTGCATATTTCATATAACTAGTGGTAATAATTTCCCTGTGCCACTAAAAATTGTTTTCAGCTATAACTGCTACTTTAAGCAGTTTTTGAACTACAAATGTGTGCTCCATAAGAAAATTAAGGAGACAAGACCAAAGTGGCATTATCTAGGAAAAGTAACACTCAGGAATCAATATTCTGTAGGGTAACACTTTAATCTTTAGAAATATATATTTGTATTAGGTATACTTATGTTTATTTTGCTGTCTTGGTCCATCATACTGTTTTCTCATGTCAGTGGTTTCAATTTATAAGGCCTTTCTAAATTAGCTTTATCTCCTTTCAGTTACGTTAAATCTTAAAACACCTATAATTTAGCCAGATGTGGTGGCACACGCCTGTAGTCCCAGTACTTGGGGGGCAGAGGCAGGCAGATCTCTGTGAGTTCAAGGCCAGCCTGGTCTACATAATGAGTTCCAGGACAGCTGGGGCTACAGGGAGACCTTGTCTCAAAAAGACCAAAAAAAAAAAAAAAACCTATATTTTTTATTATTTTTATTTTATGTGTACATGTGTGTAATGCCTGCATGTATGCAAGTGCACCTGCGTCCTGAAATGACAGAGGAGGATAGAAAAGGGTGTTGGATCTTCTTGAATACTAACCCCCTGTTCTACTATGCTCCACGAGCCTTAGGTGTACAGGTTCCACTATAGATAATTCACTTAGGGATTAAAAACACTGCATCTGAACCTCATTTTAAAGATGTATGTGCAATTAGAATGGAAGTTTTTGTCCTAGCAACATTTTATAAAAGAAAAAAAAATGTAAAATTAATACAAAGTCATCACTGGTAAAATAGGCAAAAAAAAAAGTGGCAAATACAAACCAAATCTTAATGTTTTATTCCTCTTCTGTCATTCACTATCTTTCTCTCTTTGACCCCCTTTAGGTGTTTTACTTTCCACATGTTTATCAGGAGGCGTACCATCATGCATGCCAAGCACCAAACATTGTCAACTTTTGCATATCTATGTTTACTTCTCAAACTGGATTTATAAAGTAGAAAGTGTTCTATTTCAAAGACAGGTAAGGAGAGACCTGAAGAGATGGGGTACTGTAGATTGAAGAACTCAGTGACTGATAAATACATGTAAATGGTTTTCTGGAACACTCAAATACAGATTCTCATTCAGTGTGTGTATATATGTGTGTGTATGTGTATTTATGTGTGTGAGTGTGTGTGTGTGTGTGTGTGTGTGTGTGTGTGGCCCATGAACTGTCACGTCAGCACACACATGTTTGGTCTTCCAATTAGTTTCATTCTAAATTAGATTTCTCAGATCATGCCTGTATTTATGAGGATAAATATCATAACAAATACCTTTAAAGAATAAAATAATTTTTCAATTTTTATTGAATTTTTCTGATTTTCATACAATATAGTTTGATGGTATCTAGAGCTCCTCCTGCATTTGCACCTCCCACATTGTCCCACACTCAATTTAATGTACTCTTTTATGTATATACAATGAAGCCTATAGAGTAGAGTCTGATCTGTGTCCCCAAATGTCCTTCAGTGTGGGTCCATCCACTGGGCCAATCAAGAGTCCTATCCCTGTAAGATACTGTCTTTGCCCCCTCTTAGCAGCCATCAATTGCCAAAAATTCCTTAGGTGGGGTCAGAACTCATTTCCCCATGTCTACACTGGGATTTTGTCTGATTTTAAGTTGAAAAAATAATAAATAAATAAATATCACTTATGACATCAAAACAGTGAGTAACCTTTGAATGAAACAACGGAAGTAATTATTTGCCACCCCAACAGAGCATTCCCTTTGTCATTAAAAAAGTAGCTCATTATAAAAAAGCCTAAAATCAAAGACTAATGAAAAAAACTAGAATAAAAACCCCAAGTTGATATGCCACAAAAAGCTGCAAACATACTTCCTAAGAGACCTTGTGAAAGTGCAAAAGTAAAGCTAATTTTTCAGAAGACCAGAGAATTTTATTCAAAAATAAAACCCCAAAAGAACAACAACAACAACAACAAAACCAGAAAAGGTTGAAACATTCATCGTTCGTATTTTGCAGCCTAACCATTCTTTAAGTACGGTCAATTCAGTTCTTGCTGGGCCAATGCTTATTGTGGGTGTTCTTGAGATGTAGGTTTTCTTCCTTTGGAAACAGGAAGAAAAAAATCACTTTCAGTTTAAGACTAACATATTTTTGACTAGAAAGTAAGGATACTTGTTTTATACAAACACATTTTTTTCCCATAAATATCATCTTAGAAGGCCCAATTTGAGTTTAATAAACATAATTATTTTTTAAACATGAGTCAAATACTCTAGGCTCTTCTATTAAACAAGAATTGTATATGATTCAGGCAGTATTTTTCCTAATGTTTTCAGCGAAATATGACAAGCATAGGGCATATTAGAGTTTAGAACTAGAGGATCAAGTATGAGCTGTCCTCCTCAAATATAACTACAACCCAGTCAGGGAATGGGATTTAACTCAGAGCTCCCAAGATGAATTTAATACCAGTGTTTCCTAGTTATTGATGTGAGGCACAACATTTTTAGTTGAAAGAAATCTTAAAGATCATCTAATTCACTCCTTGTTCTTTAGAATAGCATTATTAGTGATTTCTTTTGTTTGTTAAAGGGAGAAAATAATAAATTATATTTTGTTTTGCCATTGGAATTCTACACAAGTATTCATTTACAATTCCAAACTATAGAGTCATTCTGATGTCTATATTTGTAATACAAGTAACAAAAAGCCTGCCTACTTTGGTGTATGAGAAATGAAGTCAAGAGTAAATGTCACATTAGTATTAAAAATGTATTTCATGAGTTATATGTTTCTCCCATCAATGAATAAGATAGTATAATGCAAAAATCTTCAGTGTGTTAATGAGAGAAGTCATCTTCCAGTGACATGGAAGACTTTTCTTTGAATAATGAAGAGACAACGCACATAGCCCCTGCAAAGCGTTGTGTAGCTGCCTTTCCTCTATTACTGTTGTAGCACCTGCTCAGCTCACTGAGACCTTTTTCTCTCATTGCTGATCTCACTTTAGTGTGCATAACACATAAAAAGACAAAAGTAATTGCTCTAGCTGAATATTCAAGTGAAGAAAATTCATGGGGAAACAATACAGAAGTAAAAATCTCCCTAGAAATACAGTAAAGTGCAAGAGGACTTGAGATCAAGTCTCAAAATGGTTGTTTTCAAGTAGTAAAACTGAATTCTTTTTACATTTAGAAATCTTAAATAGTCACCTTTTTATAATATTCCTTTGAAAATTATATTTCAGTGAAAGTGCATCTAAATAAGATTTCTTTTCCCTATAACCCACCCACTTCATAAAAGGCAGATGTATTCCATTCTGTTTTATTTTGTACACTAGATAAGCTCTTTAGCACCATAGAATTTGAAATAGAAGGGATTGGATGACTCACTAAATTCAGCTTTACTCATGTCATGAACAAGGTACTCATTGCCCAAACAATCTTCTTGTAACCTGCCAAATTCTGAGTGTTATTTCTGAATTAAAAAGCCACAAAAGGCTCAGCTACTGACCTGGAAGCTTCCTCCCTGTTGGGTGACTTTCATAGTGCCCTAAGGAGCTATGCAGACTACCGGGGGATGGTGGGGAGTATTCAAAAACCCACCCAGCTGTGAACTCTGTGAGCTATAGCAACAATCAATCTGGCAGGATATCCCCTTCATGCAATAGTAACATGAATGGTGTTAAGTGTAAGCAGCTGCTTTCTGACGGGATTTAGGGACTGTTTCCTAGGACAGAACTCATATCTGGTACGGTAAATCTGACTAAGAATTCTTGGATGATAAAGTCATCGTCCCTAGGAGAGAGCCTACAACTGTTATTTTGATAAATTGACCTAACATTAAACTGACATCTACCCATAGATGAGAATAACTCTCATTCCTATGTAGCAATCTTCTTATTACAATGTACTGTGGTTGTCACAGAGTCACAACTTGTCAAATTGGAGAGAATAAATGTCTGTGAATTGTTCAGCTACAGATGGGACATATGACCCCTCCCAACTTCCCAACCCTGCCAAGGCTCAGGGAAAATCATACACCAGGGAGTGGAAAGATTTTTTAAGAGTGAAAAACTGAGAACTAATGCAAAATAGTGTCTTCTGGACACAACAGTTCCATTGTGCCCATGAATTCAAAGCAGTTGTGACTGCTTGCACAAGACCTATACAAGTTCAATCGGTAAACTTTCCAATATGGATAGGGGAAGAGCCCTTAATGCCCAGCACTCCCTAGCTGAGAGCTATTTAGCAGTTGATAGCTGCTGGGAAAGGAAGAGTCAGTTTTCTTCAGAGGTGTGGCCTCTGGTATGTTCTCTATGCTCCAGTGGATGGCCCTATACCCATGAGCATATGGGCAGCTCTCATTGAATTCACTGGATTTTAAAAGGAAGAAAAGGAGGATATGAAGTTGAGAGGGTGATACATGGAGGGGTCTGGGAGAATTTGAAGGGGTGACTATGATCAAGATACATCATATGTATGTAGGAAATTCTCAGAGAATATAGAAACAAAATAAAATTTAATTTAATAAAAGAGAAAGGCCAGTCAAGGCACAAGTTTAGCCAAAGGCCTATACTCGTATTGTACTTGAAGTGATTGCTGGGCATGCAGACCTGCAATGGCTTCTATGTCTTTGTACATTCTGAACCACTGTGCATTTTTCCAGGGCATGGAACACTTGTAATATTCATGCAGTGAAAAACAATAATTTGTTGTAGTTTTATTGCTATTTGTATTGGGAAATTTCATTTATCTTTTAAATTGATTTCTGGATGATTTACTGGACCTTCCTAATTCCACTGAAGGCCTTCTTTAGTCTTCTGTTCTGGAGTCTAGTTTCCAGAATACATCAAAGCTTCTTATATTTCAAAATAAATGAAAAAGAATACTTGATTTTTTCTTTATCTCAGACTTGATCTCTGAATATCACTTGGGAGGAATTATAAATAAATTATGACTAAAAGCTACCAGGTCTAGTTCCCTGATGAACAAACTCGTTTCTGAATCAACACTTATTTTTGTGAACTATCAACTACTAAGTTTAGAACTAATAATACTTCTGAGGATGGAACCCATAAAATCATTTCTAAATGAGTTCAATGCACCAATATATCTATCAGCTGGACTTTGTCCCCAAGACTCCAAAAGGCTAACAAGCATAGGTAGGGAACGTCTGAAGCATCTACAAACGTCAATTGAGAGTTCCTTAACTAGAAAACCAAAAGATAAGAACACAAAAAATGTAAGAGATAGGGGAAGAAGAGAAGTTTCTTCCTTGGTTTGTTTCTGTTTGGACTCTTATCTGGGCAAAGACAAATATCTCAGCAATCTGAGTTGTACTTTGTTCTCATGATATGAAACAGATGCACTTCAAAAGTACCTGGCTGTTTGGGAAGTAAATGTATTTGTGCACATGCTCAGTAACTGAAATTTACTTTGGCGTTCCTACTTGATGCTATTACATTGGAAGTCTGAACTGGGGTAATTATTTGACACAAAGAAAAGAGACCCAGAACTTCTATCTTCTTTGTGGTTGGATCCATGATTTGGCCGCAATTCCCCACTCCTTGTATCCACATTCTTTGCCGTGTAATTTCTTGATCTGTGAACAGGAAAACTTGCTTGACCCGTTGACTTTGCCCTTGGCCGTGGGCTGTTAACAAATGCAATGTAAGAGGCTGGAAAGGATGCATATGTCTACCTCTTCCATCTCTATGTGAACACATAGGCAAATACATTCTTCCAGAATGAGGCTTTCAGAGAATGTAGAAGAGAACCACTGTCAGCCTGTACAGATGTGAGCCTAGTTGACTCACAGAACTAGCTAATTACAAATTCAGCATAGAACCATGGAAGCAAGCTGACCCTTGGACTTGCTATAAATAATAAATAATTATTTCAAGACACAGTAACAGTTCATTGATACATTCTATTTATGCTTTCCTATGGAATCTAACAAAGTAAGTGCATATCTTTCAAATTAGAAAAAATGAATGTCAAGAGGGACCTTATGGCCATTCGTCAGGCATTCAGTTAAGTAAAACAATGAGATGAATGGAGAGACTGCTGTATGGTAGTTGATGTTAAAGCTTCTAAACAAACATTGTGCAAATACTGAAGCAATATTAAGATATGGCCTGCTGGCAAGTACTAATTATTGGGCATGCATTAGTGATGTTGTCTGAGAAGGCAACCAAAAGCATCTGTTTACACTGATGGCCATTGCCATCTAAGTAAGGACTCAAAGAACATGTGAGTATCTTTCATTTCCTGAGGAGAAAAAAAACAAATCAAGCAAATCAGACTAATGCATGACAAACATCTATTTTCTGCAAATTTCGACTTAGGCATTTTTAATTATTATTTTTATCTTACATGTATGAGTGTATTGCTTGCATGTATATAAGGGCATGCACGTCATGCAATGCCCATGGAGGTCAGAAGACGGTGTTGGATACCCTGTAACTGAAGATAAGGACAGTTGTTAGCAACCAAGTGGGTGCTGGGATTTGAACCTTTATCCTCTGAGAGAGCAGTCAGTGCTCTTAACTATTGAGCCATTTCTCCAGTCCCAATTTATGCATTTTAAAAACATGAGAGATGCCTATTTCCTTAGCTCTGATTCTTTTGCTTCCTAAAGGATGGTTTTAGGTTTAATGTCAAGAAATAAGTACAGAAATAAAGAGGAGGAAATACCTAATGGCACAATCTTTTTCATAGTATTCCTACTACATCCTTCCCCTCAGTCTGACAAGGGATGGTTAGATCCTAGACAGATGCCATTTAGAGAATTCAACAGAAATTCCAAATCGTTCCACTGACAATACTGTTAATAGTCTTTCAACAATACTAAGAAGATAAATTATTTATCTTTATGCAGTAAGAGTATTTCTGATATTCTAAGAGTTTGGTTAATGTTAAGTTCTTTTTTGTTGTTATTGTTGTTGTTTTTAATTATACAATGATGAATAACCACATAGTTTTACCAAAATTCCTAAAAATGAACTCAACCAAATTCCTGAAATGGGTTAAAAGAATGTGAATTTATGTTGTCTTAAATTAAAACATAAAAGTGGAAAACATAAAAATTATTTCATA